AAGGCTGAATTTGACGTTCAAATCACTTTTTCTCACGATCATTATCGGATTTGAAACAGTAAAGTTTAAAGATTTGAAAAACATTTGTTTAAATAATTATGGACAAGATAAACAAATTAGAATACGTATTAAGCAATAATTACTACATATAGTTTACGGTTTTAGTAAATACACATACAAAATATTCTGGAGGAAAGAGCCAAAGCTGGTGAAAGTATCATTTGCCATTGCAATAATTACAGGAATTCTTATAAAAGTATAGACAAAGAATCAACAAAAACATCTCATGAAACTAAACTTCTTGTAGCTATTTGATTAAAGTAAAACAAATTTCGGTAGTTACCAGACCAGCCACATATGACCAAACAATCACAAATGGCAATAATCTGATTCTGAGTTTTGCGAATCAACTGTTACAGCTCAAAAATTCTGTCAAATTTCGTCATAAATAAGTGTTCAGATCGGTGATGTAGAATTTCCAATGACACTGGAAAACGGATGAATATTGATCAACTTGGGCACTAGGACCATCCAGAAAGAGGCCTGCGTAAAGCAGGTAGCAGATGAGAATTCCTGAACACAAAGGTGGGTGGCAAAAGCGTTCACGTAACATAGTCAAGAAGGATCTCTCTCTCTCTCTCTCTGGAAAAGAAGGTGATATAAGTGACATGTATACATGCTGCTTCCACGAAATATCCACTTGGAGAATAAAACGGGCCAAGTAGCTGGACGCAGGACCTAATAATTTCTTTTCTATCGGACTGTTGATAGGGGCACTGAGAAACTATCGTCCACGTACTCTACATATAATATCGACGAACACGAAAGCCTTACGACAAAGCTTTCACTACGCTGCGGGGCAATTGTCAAGATGCATAATTATTAGATAAAGCATGACCCGAAGTGGTAATGCTCCAAAATTATTTCAGTATAACGAATTCGATCTGTGTTCTGCTTACTAAGAATATATTTAGGCAATTACAACACCCTATGTAAAAGCATTTTATATAATACTGTATTTGCTTCATTCCTCGTACATTTACTACCGTATAAACATGGGCTCTAGTAAACTTATTTTTAATTCTGTGATTTCATTTGTCGTCAAATTATCTAATAACAAATGAATGATAAAATACTAGATCACAAACATATGTTAGGTAGCAACAATGCACTGTGTTATGTAAACCCCTGCAACTAGCCATCACGTCATTGTATATACTAAGAGTTGTATAATATCCATCTTGAAACTGCCAGTGGATAACACCAACGATGGTCTAACGCTCCCGCCCCCTTTGTATGTGCGAATGTACACAGACGTTTATGTGCAGAAACCCTTGAAGAAGTCCTTATCGGACCTTGCATTACGTAAGCCCTTAAGAAAACAATGCTTTATTGACTTAGCAACGTAATACTGCCAACATTCTTTCGTTTATTACCTTACTTAAAATAGTCACTGATGTGTTCAAACACTAGAGGCAACCCGCAAACCCACATCACGGAAATGAATCCACTCTGTGCATTATATTAGTACACCTTATACGACTACAACCCAGCAAGAGGACACTTCCTCTGAAAGTGGGTATAGTAATACGGTATTCCCGAAGTTTCGATCACTGTCTAAAATGTGGCGATTTGTACTAGAAAATTATTGCGAAATATATTTCCTCGTGAGATTATTAACGTTAAATGTATTGAAAATCTGTGAAAACTCCAAATCTTTACCATCTTGTCAAACGATAATCTGTATTAATGTTTTGTGCACGAATATATTTTAATCTCTCTATCGCTTTCTTTTAATTAAAATATTCTCTTGTTTCTGCTATTTTACAAACTTTGTCAATCAGTGGTAACAGATGAATTTGGGGGTTTTATTTCAATGAAAACCTATTATAACTACTAGTTGAGTATACAATACACGAGATTAACAACTACAAAACCTATTATGATACGCATTTTATGTAGAAAATGTAAGCGAAATGGAAACTTTAAACACAAATACATGTCCATAAAAATTTTAGATATTAGACATTTAAATTAACTTTATGAACGATGAAAACATTTTAATATTACTGGTCCGAGTGAAGTATTTGAAAATATCTCACAAAAAATGAAAAACTACTCCCAACTAGAATAATCTCATTCTACTTCCCAATCCTTCAAACAGGAAAAAACACTGTTTTCCAGTCATCATTGCAGATCGTTTCTTTTCGATCTCTATAACAAGAGTCGAAAACCTTCCTCAAATAAGGGGATTAATGAGGCTGAATGTCACACCGTATTAATAGCTACAATAATCAAAACGACAAGATAGTGTGTACATAATGGTGGTTCAAATCGATATTATAGGTTCCCACGAATTCTAGGACAAAACGGTGGCTGTTGTGAATTTGCCAACGAAACTTCAGAAGAAAATAAAAGGCTTTGTTTTCTCGAGTTGACTGTTTTAAAGCCAAATGAAACTGCGTGAGCTTTTAATTGCTGAATTGTATATAATTATTAGCAGCCTAATAAAAAGTTACACACTTATAAATAAATATATATATATATATATATTAACACCTCATACATAATATGGTTACTTCTTCAGGAAATAATTGTATGATGATAAAGAAAAAGTGAACAAAATTTAATAAAAATATATCACTAAAGTATTTTTATACCTAAACATGAAAATTGGAGAACGTTTTGCCCACCACCAACCACGATTCATCCGTTTTCCAAGAAAGTTGTTTTGTGATTCAGGATGAGAGGTCTAATTTATTCCTATAAGTTAGCAAGCTTTAAATGTGTCGTTTCATATCTCTACGCTGGTATGATGATTTTATTGTAGAGTATTTTATTTTATGGCAATTTTAGATGTACACAGACAAGTGGTCGTTTTTTTTTCTGTTGTAAAACGTTTCTTATTTATATGAGAGAATCTATAAATAACCCGTTGTTGCACACCGTGGATTCTTTATTGTCACGAATTAGTGAACGCCTCGTTGCACATTTTATAGTTGTTACTAAGCTTAATTGTTTGTCAGCATTACTGTCACACTTTCGCTGAAGTAACTTTAATAAAACAGGTCAGTATGCGAAACAAAATAAAACAAGCATGGCTTGAGTTTCATCATCGTCTGGTGATTTTATTTTGTATTAGGTGCCTTAAGACATCGTTATCATCTGATAAAATCAGAGTTTTTGTCTAGTTCTCACTTTTAATTCATAGCCTTGCTCGCTGTTTTCAACAATGAACTGTCATCTGTACCTCTCATAAACGCCTTAAGCTCATTGGTTGTAACTACCTCAAAAACACCATATTGAAATAAACTAATGTAAGCACAAGCACCTAATATTAACATGTCAATCTGTGCATAGTTTTCTGTTAGAGCTACGCTTGATTAATCAAGGAGAGCTTGTTGGGAAATTCACCTTGTGTCTGGCGCCAAATGTAAACAACATTTTTTCGATCCTTGAAAGCTGGCGACATAATGCACAACTAAAATAGAAATGTACAAATAAAGCTATTCTATTTTAATCTAAATAAAATTCTGGGATATTCTGTATTACCAGTCATCTGCATATACACGTCGTTTACTGCTATACTCATAACTATTACAGAAAATACCAGGTTTTAGAACATTTTTCACACTTATCAGTTCCCCCTGTCCATCTCCTTGGTTTTTGTTTTCTCTCTCTCTCTCTCTTATGTACCCTATAGCTTATGTATTATTTCCCAGTATATTTCATGCTTTTCCTGTGATCTCTATTTCAAGTTTTCTTTTCTTTGGTCTATCTGGTGTTTTTTTTTAATTTTTCACTGGTTCAAAATAATGGCATTGTTTCCTTGATCAATTTTTCGGCTTTCTGTTTCCTGTTTGCTTTATTCGTTTTCTTGATAGATTTATGAAGTAATGTTTATAAAACCTTTGACACGAAAATACCGTCTTACTGTTCATTACTGTTGCATAATTAAGTACTCTAAAACACTAATAATTCTAAATATTGAGCCTTATTTTTTACTTGTCACTGTCAAATAAGAAATAAAATAATATGGGAGTATAAGCACATTTTTGGTCTTAATACCAGTGTAATTTAAAAGAAAACTAATAAAAATGTATTTAACAGGCTTCCCAAAATGAACTCGATCAAAACTAGAATAAATGATGACTTGAAGGGTGGACGAATAATTATTATTTCATGAAACACTACAAAACGACTGTAGCAAGAAAACATGCTAATATCATAATTGTTTGTCATATAAAATCTTCATTACATTCAAACATTTCCATAGTAGAATTTCTTATTTCAGTTATATTCGAGCTTAAAGTATTCTTTATTCAAAGAAAAACTGGATACAAGTATGAAAAAAATTGTAACATAAATTCTATTCAGATTCTACTAACATACAGTGAAAGGTGTAACGTTACAACTTGACAGAGTTATTTTGTTCTCCAGAACAATACAAAATAAAATCATATTTATTTCGTCAAACTGTGAATTTGTATCTTTCAATAGCTTCGCTGCCACAACCTGTGCAATGTAAATAGACTGGAGAGTATCACACATGCAAAGCTTGGGAAGAAAGCGCATAACAACTATTGACTATTATGCAAATGGTAGACATCCTGTGAGAAGCCACATCCTTGCAAAGTCATACTAATTTTACTTGCTCTAATAGGTGGATGCCTTAATTAGAATTCGACCTCAGCCTTGGATTATGCAAGTTGCAGTAAAATCAACTGCAAGTTGCCATTCAGCTGCGTCATATTAAACATTTTTTTGTGTTTTTGAATGGCATAAAATTGTAAATAGAGCTTCAGTTTATCATAAAGTATTATTTTCATTAAAAAACAATCTCTTCATAACTTTATGAAAATATATTACTTTAATGATAAACGTTCAGTTCTACAGTCATGTTAACTTACAAATAATAGTCCTAGCTGTCATCTGCAAATTGAAACACTCACACGTGTTTGTGTGGTTCAACTAACCAACAAACTTGAAAGTAGTCCTACCTGAGTGTCCTCAATAGCTGGTAAAGTTCCTGCATTGTGAAGATTAATAAGGTCTTGTTCGCTCAGACCATGATGACCGCCATGCATTGCGACGTCCGGACGTCGGACACTAGGATAAGTAGGATCTGTTCGACGAGCCAAATCGTAGGATCCAGTAAGTCCTGGGTGGACATTGGGTTGAAGATGGAGAGGTTCGTCCTCCCGTCGGGCTCCAAAAACATTGTGGGTCCGCTGAGGGGGGTGGAGTTGGTGGTATTGTTGTGGGTGTTGGGCGGCCGCAAGACTGTTCAGATGAGTATAAGGATCAGCATTTACGTGGGGGTGGTGGAAGTCTAAGTGTTGCTGTGGCAGGTTGTACGGCGGTGGGAAATAGGGCGGCTGGAAGTCGGCTGAGGTGGGTGTGTGGGTGAGTCTAGGGGTGGTGCTGAAAGTGGCTGTAGAACCCACGCTACCGATGCTGGAAATGGGGACTAGACTGGCGGCGTGACCCCCCACCAGGTCTCGACGTTCCTGCAAAACAAGAAACCAGACATCAATAAGGAAGCAAGTTCTATTTGTGGACAAGTCCAACCTTTATACAGTTGTTTTACAGTCGAACAAAAACTAAAAGGATATCAACGGAACCATTGTGATATAACTTTTGACAGACATAAAAGTTTTAATTGTTCTTGAGAAACGTAGTTGACATGTTTAACCATCTTTATATTTTCATTCAAATTCAAACAAAATACTATGCTATGACTTGAAAATAAAAGTATTTTTCATAAATTATTTGAGTGTTGCCAATAATTGCTGGTAAACTGACCTCTTTTTAAGATCAGTTTGGACAAAAGTAAGCAAAATCTTTTGAACACAGTGTTTTAAACTTAGTAGCTAAGGGAGTCCAAGGTCTCGTAGAAGTATGTAAATGTTTCTACAAACGAAGATACAAAAAGCTTTTAATTTTGTAATAATATCGACCACGAACAAATAAACCTAACGATTTTTATTTTTCATATTTTAGTGTAGTGCTTCAAGTTGAGGCACTAGTAGTTTCAGAATGCCTGTTTAGTTTGACAAGGTCATTTGAATGCTATATTAGCTCTTGCTACAAAAATATTTAATTGCCATTTTTAAAATGGCACATTTTATCTGATTCTTTGTAACTTATTTATCTATATTTCTAAACATTCTTGTATATACCTTTGTTAAAATATATATTAATCAATAAATGGCGTGTTTTAATATGGATGAATCCGAAATTAATTGTTAGATAAACTAATATTTTTCTGGGTAATGAACAATGATACAATTTCAAAGAAAACAAATATTAAAGGGAAGATTAAAAGGATGACTACATTCATACACTTTAGTATTACTAATAAATTAAGAATGAAAAAATTACTTTAGCATAATAATAATAATATATTTATGTTTTTTTTTCATCGACACATTTACTACTTTTATATAATATTTTTACATAAAACCTCCTTGTGTGATCTCAGATTAAAATACAATAATTTGGTGAATTACAAGTTAATTTATATACTGGTATTCACTTCGCTCTTTACTACCGCCATAGACATCTCTGTTTAAAAAAATCACTACATGTGATTTATTTTTGAGCTGAAACAGCCACTGGTTTGTCATACTGCGATGTGGAGAAGTCAATCAGAACTTTGCCTCAAAAGCCACGTTAAGTTTAAATCTAGTAAGGCTAGATCAACTACCTGAACAATCACAACATAATTATGTTTAGTAACTGACGATATTCCAAGTGAGGTTACAATTATATATGCAGATGAATCATCATTAAATTTGTACACATACACGAAATAAGAACAACAATATCAGAACTCAAACTCTTACACTTAACTCGTCCTTTCTATTTATACATAATTACGGTTAAACTGTATGTTAAATAGTTTGTTTCTAAGAGTAAAATTAGTATGAAAGATAATTTTCGTCTTGAAATCTTCTTGAAAAAAACTAAACACTATTTTTATTGTAAAAATCGCTACACATTTCTAGACATATTATATGGTGTCATGTTTACCATTGATTTTGCATTATTCAACTATTTACAGTCACATTTTTCATCAACCCTAATTGCTATACATTAGTTAATGTATATAAAATACACAGGAAAGCTTCGGGCAAGGACATGACCCTGGACGATTATCATTATCTGCAGTCTAGGAGATTAAGCCTAAGTTACCTACAGGGTCAGGAGTATTTTGACCTCTAGTTCACTGACGTGAAACGTCGAAAAGTCCTATGTATCTGGTAATACAGTGTAGCGATCTGACACGTGCTAGTTTCAAAAATGTGTAATTTTTCTGTTTATACGGGCCGATATTTTTTTAAAGTAACAAGTTAAAGTGATCGAAATTTCTCAGTTATGCTGGTCAATTACATGCTAGAAAAGCTGATTGGACACTTTAAGAAAGTGCCTAACACTTTTTTTATTTCTGAACTCCAAATTATAAAGACAAAAAATCACTTTAGGATGAAGAACACAACAAATACACTGATGTTTAACTGTTTTTACAGTTTTAAATGCAAAGCACCAAAATATTTGTCATTTCTGTAGAACATTGGAATGTTCAAACAAAGTATTTTATTATTTGGTAACCATTTTAGGAAGTTTGGCATGCCTTTGTAGCATTGCCAATCACGAAAAACATTGAAATATGCAACATATTTCGCATGAAGAGACTAACATGTCCCGTTAAAAGTGAAGATGCAAATTTCTAAATTTCAGAAGAAACAAAAATGGAAAATATTTTAATCACCTTTTAGGATCGAGGTTGATTAAGCTTGTAACTAGTTTACAAACTATAATAGCAAAGGATGATACAAAATGACTGTTTAATGATATCCAACATGCCACCAACTCAAAACATCGCTCTAATTGATTTTAATGTGTTCGTATTTTATAAACTATAATAAAGTGACACAGCCTTATTGCACTAATATAACGTGTAAGTACTGTTAGATAGTTCATTAAACGATATCTGGAATCATTGCATGAACGTGTATGCGCCAAATACAAAATCCTTAAAATAAAAAAAACACTGCAGATGTACCAACACATGAAAAAGACTGACGAGTTGTAGCTTTCACGAATCTTTCCATTCTGACTCGTTTCTATGAATTTCATGGTTTGAAGTCAATTAGCTACACATCTTAAACCTTTCCAATTATTAGTTGCACTTAATCTAGCATAGAAGATCACTGAATCTATTTCAGAAGTTTCTTTATTCTTGAAGATGCCTTTCCGTAACCACGAAATAAAGCCAATGAATGACTTTTTGTTGCAAGAGACCATAACACAAGTGATTACAATACGCTAAAATATCCGTACTACATTAGAACGACTTCGACTATGTGATTCTGCACGTAAATCGACAAGTTTTTATAATACACTCTAGCTAAGTCGAGATAATGCAACATCGTGATATCCTGTAATTGATCTACATTAAATGAATTTAGCTGAATCAGTTTTCCTATAGTGGCGGTTATTTCAAAGCATCACGCACACAAATTTTGTATATCGTACGTGTCGCTCACGATGAACAGCGTGAAACACAATGCCTCTAGGCTTTGGCAATGGTCCGGAAAATGAGGAGCTTCGACCTAGGTTGAAGCAGGTGTAGAATTCAGCGCGAACCTTTACAACACACTGTCTTCTCTTATTCATTTCGAGAACAATAATGTCTAACGGTTCTATGGTATTTTTATTTACACTTTGGAAATAAGCATTGCCTCTTATCCAACATTTAACTTACAGTGGTACTGGTTAGAGCTGTTATTGTATTTAGTTTATTTCTGGTTGGACAAATATTATTGTATGGGAAGAGGAATTCTGTATGTAAGCCTATTGAATTCTATGTCTACGGTGTCCATATATGACTTTTGAAACACGTTTTTTAAAACTATTTATGCCCAGAACTGCTTGTGGGTCCATGACAAAATCAGTGAAACAAGAAAAATGTCATCAATATTGCGATTAATCCCACTAATTAGTACTGGGTTCACTATTTATTTTACATAGAAAAAAGTGATCAGTGATTTCACAATTTTTGATTAGTTATTCACATTTCAGGATTAAATAAGTTTTAGAGAAATGATGTTTCTTGACTACTTACAATCTCAGCGTTAATTGCAACGAATCTGAACAAGTTTGTTTTTACAAATGATAGACACTAAGAAATATTAAAGATAAAAGTTTTAACTTAATATTACCCACATTTTAAACAAATAAAAAAAGGCTCCTGGAAGTTTATTAAAATTTTACTAAAAAGCATTTTCTGTTTCCAGTTAACACCACATTCAAAATTCACTTTTTCGTCTACAGTCTAGAATGTTTCATATAGATGGAATAAAGTAGGATTAACCTCAGTGCAAAAACAAAGAATAACAAGAGGTGTTAAAAACGAAACTTGCAGTAGAATTATACGTTATTAGACTTTCTCGTCTATAGATTTTCCGACTCGATAAAAAGTTACTAACCAAGAAGCGTAAATACAAAGTACAACTGCTTTAAGAACAAAATACAATGAATATGAATTTGAGTTATCTGCTAAGAAAAGATGTCATCTAAAAGTGAAACACTTTATTCGAACCGCACACTATGTGCCAAAGATCGTTTTTTATTCTTACATAACAAGCAAAAAGAGTTACGGAAACCATCAAATACGACCCTGTATGAGAAAAAAACAATGTTTTAATTTTGGAATACTTGTAAGGTAGTTTGTGATACCGATGTTAAGTGGCATCACCTAGCAACGCTATCTAAAGAATGATTTAGAACTCAATAAGCAAATACTTCAGAATTGTATAGGTATAGGAAAATCATTGTTAGTGCTATGAAATGAGATGTTGCAAATCATCTTTGATGTCATGTTCGGAAATATTATTAATATGCATCAGCATCATAAACCCAAAATTTCAGCTGTCGAAAGTATAGACAATAATAAATGAAATATTTTAAATTAAATTTAGCTGAAATCGCTCCTCGTTCCAGGCAGAAATGCACCCATTCCCTGCATAAGGAGTTGTGCTACAGAATATCGAAATCCGACCATAGCAAAGACTGTTACTCAAACTTAGGTTGTAGGTGCATGGTCAGAAATTTGTAAAGCATGCCACTGCACCTTGGAAAAGATAAGTATTACCATAAAAGCCACTTACATTAGCCCAAAACACACGCACTGTACTGCAGTTAATCGCAAATCATTTAAATAATGACACTTTATTCAGTTGAAGATTTCAACATGGTCGTACTAATAAGAAGAATGTTACCACAATACTCGGACTATTGCCAGAATGTACGCTAAAAGGTTCCCAAATGAACATCATCCATTACATGAAATGATAAAAATACATGTTAACGGCTGCGTACTACATGCTCATTTTCGTGTACACGCAAAGAACAACATACTGACAATAAAAGCCGCCATATTGGAATTTGTCACATTTGGGCAGTACCTTGAATACAGCTATTGATTGTTTTCCACTGTTTTCATAATATTTTTGTCTGCATTTATATATATATGAATGTTGTTTCTATTGCGCAACTTTTGTAATTTTTTTTTACCTAAAATGTTTCATTGCAATTGACATTTGTGGTGTATGATGATATTAGTTAAAGTTTCGAAGGTCATGATATTAAACGACCTCAACGATATTATCTAAGGCAAGCAATACCGGTTTTAGTATTTGGTGCTTTAGTACTTATGCTGCATATTTTTCTATAATGTGTATAACTGCCTTCATTTCCTCCACGCTTATAAATAAATATACGGGGAAACTACCCAAGTCTTTCAATTTTAACTCCACCAATGTCGTATCAGGAATACCAATTTACAAAACCACAGCTTCGTACCTTCGACTACATTCTTCTGTAAAGGGATGTGATTACTTCTGACGTTGCCTTGGCCACAGGATGTTGCACAATTAGTTTCAACATGGGAATGTTATAGTGACATTTTAATGATGCAATAAGATGCTAAAAAATGGTTATCTAATATCAAAAAAGGATAATTTAAAACATCTTAGGCCACACTTTCTTTGATGTAAATAAGATTAAGAATGTAACCAAATTTATATAAAATGTACTTTATTTAAACTTGTCTGTGCTCTGTGTTCCAAATATTATTTTGCTGTTTAAGGAAATTTAGTTATTTGATTGAAATGTGAACTATGCGTTATTCTATATATTTAACAGAAGTATTTTACGTTGGAGAAACATTATCTTATGTTTAGACACCATTTTATTATACTTATAAAGCAGTATTTGTTAGCTTAAACAACAAAAATGTTAATACACAAAGGAAACGATTTTAAATCTACTAAAGTTTTTATACAAGAAAAATGCTCCTATAAAGAAAACTGTCTTTATAGACAATGCTATTGTACAAATAAAATGGTATAATAAGCCTAATAGTATTAACAAACAAAAATAAAGAAGCAGTTTCACAAATATATATATTGTATGGCTAACTATTCGTTTTGAAAATAGATGATTTGAACTACTAACATTACACTTTTCATGAATCTAAAAGTAATCCTAATTTACAAACAGAAAGCTGGAATACAAGATATTATACTTTTATAAATATTATTATTAAAACCTTAAGCTATTGGAGTCTTCATCTCGTGAACAGAACCTTCACGTGTATTATAATTATTTCAGTATTTTTAGTACCGTCACGTTTTCATGTTTTGTGTGAGGTGGTAAACGCCGATTTATCGCTTAGTCTTTTCTTCCGTACATGGAAGAAATTATCTTGCAGGTGACGCTTATTTTCATAAAACGTTATATCGTATCCGATTTTGCTGTCAGTCAGTTTTTGTTAACTGCCTTCTTTTAGCTAACAGTTTAAGCTGAAATTTACGTAAAATATTTAACATTTTGAAGTTCAGAAAGCAGGATTATATTTCTAAATTCTATATGTGCCACAGCTACACGTTCATAGACAATTAAACCAAATGTAAATTAAATACCCTAAAGTGTAATAATTTCCAAGATTTATAAACTTAGAACGAAATTATGTTATGTGCTATATAATATACAATTCGTAATTATAAGATACCTACCTTTTTTTATCTGTCCTTCATGAGTGGAATTCAATTTTGTCAACAAACTAAAGATACAAAAATATCAATTCCTACAGAATTCTTCTTCGACAGCTTATTTTTTTGTGTTAAGAGTAAACTTCTATTGACGTTAAGTAATCAGAGATTGCGGCCAAGAACAAGCGAATTTTGAAACTATGAAATTAAAAGTTCAAACAACATATCACGTGGGAGTGGGAGAAAACCAACATAGCTGTGTGCCGAAACGTTCTCGACAGACTTGGTTTGTGAATATGTGTGAGCTTCAGGCCTAACCGCCAAAGGACAGGTCGGTACATTAAAGAGCAGGTAAGTTCAAGTATGATGAAAGTATAAAAAAATGTATGGCACAGAAAGAAGCATCAGCCTGTTGCTTGTGGCACGAAACTCGCGTAACACATTTACTTACGCGTATCAATAAAACTGAATAGAGAACTTTACATTAGTATTTTGTTACTTGCTCTTAGGGACATTTTAACACTCCGAAACCTCTTATCATACCATTCTGTTGGGCTTTTTTTTTTCATTGGAGCAGAAAGAGTAAATAAACTAAACACCATGGATAATATAGTCGTACCAATGTTATAGTGTAAGTGTAGAAGACTACAGGAAAACTTAATATTCAAGTGTGATAAAATATTCATTCAAAATAATTTACTTTTAACGCCTATTAATGTTTTAAATAATCAATATAAAATATTGTTAGACGAGATTTATTCAAAATACAAAGGATCGTACATAAATTCTATAGCTTAGCGATACTACACCTCAGGAGATTCTATGAGTCCAAATGCTGAGGGCATGTCGTTTTTCATGTCTTGACCAGGAGATAGCTGACCTGCAACTTCATCATTGTCCTCGGGTACTTCTCTTTTCTGTCCTGTAGGACTGTTTGCTTGTGCTAAGGGACTGAGTTGCGCCATTTTGTTGACGACAATCAATAACAAATATTCTACGTTCTCGCACTACTACTGATTATCTGCAGCTGATGATGGCTGCATACACAGGAATATCGTTTCATGCAAACGGAATCAAAATATCGAACAGTCAAGAACCTTCTCTGAACACACACACACAGTCTTTACCTACAATGTCAGTTTAAAATCTCTTCGGCTGCGGTCACTGGTCTTCTATCCCCCTCTGGGCTTAACTGGTGTTGCAAGCAAGAATGCCTTGGCTGATGGACTACCTCTACCTCCGTGCCACGTACAGGACAGGTTGTGGAACAGTTGAAGTTCTTGCACGCCACAGCAGGTAGGGAGAACTAGACTGGGTGGGGGAAAAGGGGGCAAACGAAGAGAATAGAAAGTCAACACTGCAAGGCCTGCTTGACTACCTTGCCGCCAAGAATGGAGTGCTCAAATGGCCGCAGGCTACCTGAGCGTTAAAGCTGGTAATAAGTGCAAAGCTCACGCATCACTGACGCCAAGGATTCTGCAGTCTTCCTTTTGTAAAGGCATGTCCAAGATCACCACGCACGCCGGTTGGACGCATAAATTAGTGAGACTGCCCACTTGTATATATGGTGTAAGTATATTTTTGTTGGATTAAACACTTTTTTACCCTCTCTTTATCTTATGCTGAATATACTGACCCCTCGTTAGGATCGAGATGATCCCTTTTTGTTCTAAGAAACCGGTTTATTACATATGTCCCTACCAACCTGTTAAACAAAGTTCTGCTGTTAGATAACGTCGCTCCGCCCCGTTTGGGTGACGTAATATTGTGAAACTAAGAAATAGGTTTTCCTACCTGATTCACATCTACTTGTGAAGCACATTACGTTTAAAGTCTAAGTATTGTGCAACTTAACATTCCGGGCCTTATGACGTCTCCGTATGTTTTTCTACAATGTGTACGACGTAAATGTTTGAGGTCATGAAGAAGTTTCTAGATTTTCACAGAAACATGTATTTATAGTTAACACAACAATTCCCCACATTGATTTCGCAGATATTAAAATAAGGATACCTCATTTGAGGTAGTTATTCAAATCTGTCTCATAGAGAATGATGATACAAGTAGCTAGTTCCTCACTTTCATTGTTTGTAATAAATAAGTCCTTAAAGAAGGCGATCTTCAAGGTTAATATGTAATATTTGAATCGAAACGACTGTAAGTATATTAGAATCATACACAAGTAGCATGTGGAAATAACGCCTCGTAGTTAGGTTGATATTATAACTAATTGTGGTAGTCTGGTATATAATTAACAAGAGACCTCATGCTTAGCCTTAATCAAACGCTTGAGATTATACAAGTGGAAATTGAAAAGTTAGGATAAAAATAGGAAATGGCGTAGAATGTTGTAAAACGTTCTAATCTCACGTGTCTAAATACATATCTTCCCTCAAGATCAATTCTACGAACTTGCAAATTAAAACGTAGATCTATGTTTATGATATATTTGAATCTAATATAAAAGTATTCAATTTTTATGTAAAATATTAATTTTTGTTGAGCGGAAATCGAACTAAACTTTTGTGCGAATGCTTAGTGTGATGGTGTTCTGTGTTAATCAGATAACTCAGCTTTATTCAGCATGACAGAAAAAGGCTTTTCCTGTTGTCTCACATAATTATGCTGCCGATCCGAAATTATCCAATAGTGTAAGTGCTGACGTCAACGAGTCACGCCCGACGTTTAAGAATGCTGCATGGACTTCCTTAGGAACGTCCTTCTCGCCAGCGCTCATTTGAGAAGTATCGTCTATTTGTTACATCTTGACGCTAAGTCACGATAATACCTTAAGTCTTAAGAGACTGAGTTTGTATATCGAACATGAGTATGAAGGAAAGAAGTCATTATTTCTCTTAACGTAAGTTGTCAATGCACATGTGACTACAAAATAAAACAGATAAAAACTGAGAATATATCTCAAATGACACATTTCATTACAGCCAAGTCAAGAAATAAAATTAATATCTGAAATATAAAATCTACATATCAATCGGGTAGAAAAAAATATATTGTTGGTGATTTTAAGTGATATTTTAAACTAGCTTAAGTAGAACAAATACTTAATATAATAATATCAATACAAAACTGCTAGATATTGTCTATTGTTTTATAGCTAATGTGCGTAAAAGATACAATTGTATTGTATACGTTAAACACCAGTTTGTACTCTCACTTTTCAATATTTTTTTCTAGTGCAGTTTAAGGTCGACTAATCGTTAATCAAGCTGATGGAGAGCTTGTTTGAATCATTAGCTAATGACATCTTTTTTACTTAACATGATATTACGAAGTAAATTCACCTTGAAGATATTTTAGACTGAAGACATGCTGGATAACTGATTACACAAATTAATGCTTCCTGGAAACATAGAGGAGCAAAAAAGTAGAGTAAAGTCAAATAAGCAAATCCAATAGTTTGAAAGCTTTCGGAAATTATATCTTCCTTTTACCTCTGAATTCTGTTGAGTTATCAATATTCTTTCTGAAATTATCCATCTATCTATGATTTTATTTGTTCTATGTTTTAATTAACAACTTATCTACTTTCTTTTCGAGGGATTTTCTTGATCTTAAAAAAACTACTGCTTTTAAGTATTGCTTAGCTAAAAGATTATGACAATTTATTGATAACGTTTTGAACGATATTGGTATATATATATATATAATGTAAAAATACAACATTTTATTATTATTATTATTATATACATGCTGTACATTGTTTTGTTATAGTTTTGCTGGCGCGATCATGTATCTATTGGCGCATACATCTATAATAAAAGTGTCGTATTTTTAAATAATTATCTCGTCAGGCTGTGCAGAGCTGAGTAATCGCCTGGACGCCGTTGATATAATACAGATAATTATGAAATATATATGATTAATTAATCAATTAATTAGAATAACATATATGTCACTGTACTTATTTTGTTTTGACGGGGAATGAGTTGAGGTAATTTCTCTACTGTTTAACGATTAAATATAAACTAGAAAAATCTTGATTGTGTTAGACTTATTTATATATAGAGAGCTGCTTTTCCATATGTTTGTACCTTATCACATATGTTACACAATGGAGCTAAATAAACAGAAATCCTACAATTGTATTTACAATATTTGGATTTTTTTATCTTATAAAACTTCAAAGACAAGATATACAATGTCACAAATCTTTAAGTTTCAACTAAGACTGATGCTTTAAAAAATAACGCAATAATTTAAGTAGAAGTATTAGAGATTATTCAAGGGATGAATACAACGTTAACAACTGGTGTGGAAAAATTAATGTTTCCTTTCCCACAAGGTTTATTAAATACAACGTTTTGGAAACATGTCAGTTTCTTTTTGATTGATCTTGTTTCACAAAATTAGATGACTTGCCAACAGGCGAAAGGTGCAAGAAAACACAAATATGGTTTGTACAACAATAATGAAAAAGAAAACTTGAATGTGAATTTATTGCCAATTTAATCGAGTGCTGAAATACGGATGCTTTGAATTAAAGAATACTATTTATTTAAAGTCATACTTTTGTTTGAAGTTTAATTATAAGGAAAATTGTCATATTTTACACATAAGGAACGTGTAGACAATTTTGAAAAGATATATGTCACCGATAATCGGTGATATCTACAATATCTGAATGCAATTGATGAAAATTTTATACCAGCATAAATCCTGCTACAGATTTTTTGTGACGTTAACGTTTAGTTTTTAACTTTAAGTTCTTGTTGGATAATTTCGTCAGCATAAACAAAACTAAATATATTTAAAAACGAAAAAGAACAATAACAGAAAACAGTTAATATAACGTAGACTGTAATTTCTACTTTAATTTTTCTTTAATAATTTTGATAATGCTGATAAACTGAAAAGATAAGATTACAGGAACTTCAGTCTATTGTTATATGCACAAACATTTCACGGTTCTCAGCTTAATTGTTTTGATACACAATACTAGTTTGCATTCGTATAAATATAAAAATCTTACACACCCTACAAGTCTGAATACTACTGTATTAGAATAACAAACTCGTAAAAATAGGACAAAGTAAGTAAAATAACAGATTGTGCAAGAAAGTACTATATATATATACACTTCATTACTACTGTTACGTCTCCGTTTTTTAATTAACTGATTT